GGCTCTATTTTCATATATTCATTTACATTTATTAAGATGATATTTATATTATTAAAGAAAGTAAGAAAGCAAAATATCATAAATTATAAGCTAATATATAACAAATGAAAAAAAATCTCATGACCGGACCGGATAAAGCCGGCCATAACGCTCAGAGGGTTAACAACTTCAACGAATTCATATGCAAATTGTTCGATTACTTCAGTAACAGCTGAGGGTTACTGAAGTATTCGAACAATTTGCATATGAAAAATAACAATTTTTCACCTTAATGGCATTTTACCATGACAATTTTTTAATTTGATTCATCAACTCGTCAAATATGAGCACTCAGTTTTTTACTTATGACATATTTTGGTTTGATCAATTAGCATTGAATCTGATCAGATGCCATTGCACTGACACTTTCTCACCCATTCAGTCATTACTTTGTCATAATAGTAACTTTTAGCATAACAAATGATTTTTCTGTTATTCATTATGAGTAAGGTGTTGGAATCCTCAAAAAGTTCAAAAAGTCTCCCTCCCTCTTTTTTTATTGTTGTATATTGTTGACTGTCTAATATGCTCCTCACATAATTTTGACACGGATATGCATTTATTCATTATTTGAAGCAATTGCATCCACTGTTTGCTAGGTTGATATGCTTTTGCTTTGCATATCCTGCTGCAGGTCCAGAATTAGAAACTTTTTTCAACATAACTGAAAACTTTTAATTTTGATAAAATAGCTGTAATAATAATAATAGATTGCAAAAAATAATAAACTGGATCAAATTAGAAAGTAAAGAAATCCCTGATAACTGAACTTAAGTTCTTTTGAATCAAAGTCTATCTTCCCCGCTGCTATGCCAACAAAATAAAACTAGTATGAGCGACATCCCACTTCAAACAAATATAAAGCTTCACTTATTGTTAAGGTTACATAGGAAAATGCTAACCCCCCACAACCACTCAAGGGCAGAAAGTGTAGTTATGGTTAACATCAATTAATGCATTGCCACTGGCTACAGTGATTCCATAGAAAGAAATTGTATTTGAAATTGAAGGAATTTCAGCTAGTCACAACAAAAATCTCTTTTTGGAAAATCGCTTTCTTGTTTATGAATATTATATTCTCCATTCTTTGGTTAGGGAAGAAAAATTTAATAATTAAATAAATAAATTGTTGGGGGTCTAGAAGTATGGATTTCAGGCTTTGTACTGTACTATTTGGCTATAGTTTTCTGCATGTTATTAAAATACTAATCTCTGAGATAAGACTTCACTGACAAGATAAAGTAATTTGCAGATGACAGATCTGACAAATAATGGAGTAATTGAGAATTGTGATATTTTCCTTTACTAGAAATTGCTTCATAAGAATGGCATTGTAAAGTTGCTTATTGTTGTGCAGCAGAAGCCTGTTATTCAAGAGTTTGTTCAAGCCTCATGTATTGAATTCATTTCATAAGTCTGTCCATTACATTTTTAATGAGATATGAAGGTTACCATATCTTTCTAATGACAAATTCCTTGTGAATTAACCTTTTCTAATCAAAACAAGTTAGCAGCATGGTCTTTACTTGAGATTTCTGTAATCTAAGTTTCTCTGGCAGATGATTACCATTTTATGATCAAAAGCAAATCACAAGTTTCATCTATAGTCACAATTTGTTTGAAAAAGGAATCATGTCTGTCGTTTAGAATGAAATCACAATATACACAGAAATTCGATTTTCTTTCTATTCTGCCGTAAATATGTGAGAGACAAAATAAGAACAAATTTTTCTTTCTTTAGGATTTCCATGACAGTTTTGTCAGCAGTGTCTTTATTGATGTTAAACTCATCAGCTATCATTTGAAGCGACAGGTGATGATTTTTCAGTGGCAGATATCAAACTTTTTCTATGTTTTCATTTTGGCAATCATTTCTAGATTCATCATCTTTGTATACTTTAGGAAATTGTCCATACCTTTGGATAATTTCTGTGCTTGATTCCTATATCTTTACTCAAAATTTCAAACATCTTTTGGCCAACCAGCGGCCGAGCGGTAAAATCACTGAATACTGGTACAGTACAAAGTCCGAGATCCAGAATGATCTAAAATCCAGACATCAAAGCTACCAACAACCTTTTTTTTTTTGTATGCTTTACACATATGTGTTTGATTACCTCCCCCCCCAATAATAAAACATTGGGCATTAATTGAGTCCAAATTCTTAATTTCACTTCAGCGCTTAATAACTTGTTATCGAAGAAACAGTCATTAAGCATAAATTTTGTGATAAATAATTTGATCCATAGCTGTGGATCACTTGGCATATTATCTAAAACTGAAACATTCTGCATAGAAACATCGTTGATTTTACACCAACTAGTATTTTATATCCGTGATGCCAACTTGGCGAATCATCATTTATTATATTTGGCTTTTCATCATTGCATGTCAGCACATGACAACTTGAATAATGACTCATGCAGTGAAACCTAAACAATTTGTTTTTTATATTAGTAATTGAATAACAGAGTATGGTGGCTTGGAGGTGATTACAGATTTAAGTTATATGCACAAAGAAATGTTGACAAAGAAAAATTTAACAAAAATTTCTTTCCGTATGCTAAAAATAATTTTGTTAATGATACTCATAGGCCAAAAGATTATTCCCATAAACCCAGAACTGATGCCAGAGCTCGTATGGCTGTACAAGGCGGCAGAATTTTTGGAATTTAGAGAAGCACAAAATTAAGGGAATAACAAAGTTTTTAGAATTTAGAGAAAGCACTGGGACCCAAGATTTAGGGGCAGCAGAAATTTAGAATTTAGAACCAGCTGAGACTGCATCAGACGGTATTTGATAAGCCTTAAGTGTATGTGGGAATTTATTTATTTAGAACTCGGATAAAGCATATGCAAGAAATAGACATAAGTATAATAACTAACTAAAATAATATAATTCAGGCTTAACTGTCTCAGTACATGATAGAGAAGCAAGTTCAAATTTAGCAGAACAATTTGTCTTTCGTCACCAGTTACTGAAGCTGTTGAACTATTTGCAGATGAATTTATTGAACTCGCTAATAGTGAAAAGTTATCCCCAGAACAATTTTACAATGCTGATGAAACTGGCCTTTTCTGGCAATATGCACTGCAAAATACCTTAACAACTTCTACAGAAAAGGCTTCAAGTGGTGTCACAGATTCCAGAGCGAGACAAACAATTTTAGCATGACAAATGCTGCACGAACAGACAAATGCAAACTTTTGTTAATCAAAACAGACAAATTAAACTTTTGTTTAACATTTCTAGAACTGTATTTATTATGTACATAAAAAGATCATAAATTTTTGTACAGAGCATCAGAAATAAACAAATTTTCTGTCTTGTACAATTGTTTGTTGATGAGAAGTTTCATTTGTCAATAGTTCTTTAAAAATAATATCTTATATTTTAATTTTTATTATATTGTATAACCTCGAGCATTTAAAGGAGTAAAGATTTTCCTGTTATATATCATGCAAATAAAACAGTATGGATAACACAAGCATTACTGAATAATTGGTTTGAAAATCATTTCATACCCGAGGCTCGACAACATTTTAATTGGATTTGTTTACCTGATGATGCAAAAATTATCCTGATTGTAGACAACTGTGTGGCTCATACTTCACTTTAAAGTTTTAGTGAAAAATAATGTAACTGTATTATTCTTTCCTCCAAATTGTACGTCCATCATTCAGCCTATAAATATCGGAGTAGTGCGTATGCTGAAATACAAGTATAAAGTAGCATTTTTAAAGCCCATGTTAAGTATCTTGAATAATGACAAGTCTCTTCAGGAATTTTTGAAATATTTTAGCATAAAATCTCCTATGTGAAGCATCATAAATCGTGGGAGAACGTGTCTCCAGATACCTTAAAAAAATGCTTGATGTAATTTATGACCAGCTACTATATTTCATGGTGAGGCTGGTGAAAATGGTAGCTGTGAATTTGAAGGTTTTTGAATATCGCAAACCAAAGGTGAAATTTTCCAATTAACGGATTTTGTAAAGAAATGTGGAGAAGCGGTAATAAATGAAGATGATATAATGGAGGATTTTCATTGCGATGACAATGCCCCAATCGTCAATCAATTAACAAATGGCGAAATCTGTAGTATAGTTCTAGATCCAGAAAATACTGCTACTTATAGTGAAGAAAGTGACAGAGAGTTATTGAGAATGAAAAAATTTTGATTGACTAGTCGGAATTTTCAAATCAGCAATTACAAGGCTTGAAAAATGGAACTTTGTAACTGAACTGAAATTATGTCTGTCTATAGAACTGAAGAGAAAGTATTAGCACAAAAAACAAAGCAACTTAAACGACCTACACTGAAAATAAATATTTACTAAAGTAAACAAATATTTTTATTTTATAATTTCTACGTGTCATCTTACTAGATTTAAACTGATGATCTAATATCCAGAAAAATCCTAAATCTGGAATCGCTGAAGACCTGATCTCACACTTCTGACCTGTGTTTGATTCCAGGTGAATGGGCTGGCTGCATGGGCATTTTCATGGTTTTCTCCATGTATAATGTATAGATGATCCACTTTTCCTTAGAAAGTTGTTTAAAAAAGCTTCCCTCCTCTTAGACAGATAGCCCTTAATGTGCTTTGCTATAACCAACTAAACCAATCAAATGTTTTTGATCCTTTTCCTCACTTTACAAAAAAGCTTTATTGTTCAACTTTGAAATCCATGACAACAGCTGTTAATCATTGGATTAACAGCATGAAAATTCGTTTCGAGGAAAGAGGATTTTTTAGGGAAAACAAAGTGAGATGTCATAGTAATAAATGCTGCCAATTAATATCTCTTGTTAGCTGGAATTTGTTTTAAGATTCATTGTATACTCTGAGGAGATTTTTTTAAAATGGTTTCTAATAATATTAATATGAAAGTAAAAGATTAATAAATTATTAACTTATTTGCATTATATATATATAATTAAATTTCTGTCTTTCAGGTTGAAGTAAATGGGGTAGAATATCAACCAGTTAATCCCTGTTCTAATAAGAAGCAGGCAAAAGCAGAGACTGCCAGTCTCTGTCTGCAGGCTCTCAATGTATTTCCCAAGTGAATTGTCATATAAGTTTTACACAATATATAGAACTTCCTTAGAAAAATGGACACATGTAATCTATTACAAAGTTATTTTAATGTTAACAAATTTTCTGTCTTGTACAATTGTTTGTTGATGAGAAGTTTCATTTGTCAATAGTTCTTTAAAATATCTCATATTTTAATTTTTATTATATTGTATGTATAATAACTTGTTTTTTCTTCACATGTACAATTCAGACAAGCAGATTCTATCCATATTCCCCCTTACTCACTGTAGGTGTAATTACAACCAGATTAACCATTAATCCAGATTATTTTCTAAAACTGCATTTATTTTGTACATAAAAATGTCATAAATTTTAGTACAGGCATCAGAAATAAAAATTTATGGATTTGCTCTTCCTGTACTTAGTTTAAAATAATTATAATTTTTTTGAGGGGGGAGATCCAAGTATAGAGAAAAAAATTAAATGTAGTATCCGGAATCAGTCAGTCATAGCCATTTGTGCAGCATATATAAATATAATATTTTTTATCAGTGCAACAGAATGCCAATATGCTACATAATAATTTATGTTCTTTAAATACCTTTGTATCAAAATCAAGGAAAGAAACAAAATCATATTGTGGATGCTGAGAAAGTCCTTATACACCTAAGTCTGATTCTGCATGGTGAATAGGTTGCTCCCCAACATTATCATATTGCTACAAAAGCCTTGGGGGGGGAATTCTAAAAGCTTTCAATTTTTATATTATGCCCAAAGGGGCTTTTGTTTTAACGTTTTGTGTGTTACATTTATTTTTTAAATATGTTCTTCACACTTAAACCATAAAATTCAATTCAACAGCAATATCACAAAATATTTAAAAAGAGCATATCTTTAGAATTTCCAGTACACAGTCTCACATTATGGAGATAAAAATGGTTTTTTTTTTTTTTTCTTTCCATACAGTGTTGCCATTGCTTGCTTTAAAATGGTTGAGTTTGTTAATCAAAAATTCGAAGTTTTACAAAATATGAAATAAATAATAAAACAAAAATTTGGGCTTCCGGATGCCCAAATTGGAGTGGAGGACTACATTATTTAAAATATGATGTCTCTAGATCCCATTGTTTTTTCACAGTGCGAGAAACATATACATTCATGCAAATTCTTCATTATTTAATTTCTTTAAATATAATGCACATCTCTAATATTTGGTGGCAAAAATTTGAAAAGTAAAATGCCAGAATGAAATGAATAGCTCCTCTGGGCTAACAATTGAAGACAAGTTCCCGATATGAAAATGTAGTTGAACAAAATAATCTTTATTCAGTTTCTATTAAATTCTTGGTTAAATCCTTATTTAGTTTTTAATTATTTTATAAACTTTTTGATGGGCTCATGAATATATCAATAATTTTTCACAAAAAACGTCAAACTCCAAAGTTCAAGTGATTAAATAAATACTTAGTAAATAAAATTTTTCTGTTGTTAATTAAATCATCTTTAATCCTAGTTACTCATTCATAATAAACTAACATTTTTCTAAATAATTAACTTTTTTCTTTTTAAAGTTAGCTGTCTGAAGTGAGATTTTGATATATTTACAGATAAGAGGATTTATTTATTTACTTTAGAATAAAAGGCCAAACTTATGTATTTGTTCATGTAATTTATAATTTGAGGAATTCAGTACTCAAAATATTTATCACAGATTCTAAACTTTCAAAAAATATGATTGTAACCTGCATCTTTTACCTAATTACCTGATAAAAGCCCGCTGGACACGACTTTATTGATTATTGCTTTATTTGGCTATTTTATGATGGGAAAACACCTCACAATTCTACTTTCTGATTAAAGTGGTTAGCTGTAATGCTTTGATAATAAACCTGAAATTTTATTTTTGCAATACCGATAAATTAGAGGTGTGTGCATACTTACATGTGTGATAATTAAAAAATATAATCATGAAATTTCTGAAAAAGTTTTCTTTTTTTAAAACTTTGTATGGCTAAGATTAATTATTTTTTGGAAGGAATCATTAATCTGCATTCTAAAATTTTTTTTTTAAAGAGCGATTTTCTTATCTTTCATAATTACACATGTCGTCACATTACAAACAAACTATAAGTTTGTGTGAGCACTGTACATTTGCCTGTGGACCTCCAACTCATGGTGCTTGGATTTATCTTCGAACTACTATGCCCAAAATGATAGTTTCCAAGACAAGTGAATTATGATCTTATCATTGTGTTGCACGTAAATGTTCTGTAGGAGAGATTTTTTTTTGGGGGGGGAGGTGTTAATTATCTGAACAAACAGATAACAGCAGCATGACAATACCATACCTGCCAACTTTTACGAATTTTTCGTAATTTTTACGAAAATGCGTTTGTCTTTACGATCGTAATCCATTTTTTACGATTTTTTTCCTTTTTCAAGTGTTTTTAGTGATTTTTGTCGAAATTTTAGAATTTTTCGCCAATTGCATCGTGTTTACCGCCAACTACCGACTACTACTTCGAATAAAGTAACCCCTGCGGTTTCTCCCAACTCGCCGCTTAAAACCAGCCAATCCAATGCGCTGAACGTGTTTTTCTCCCCAATCTTTTCTTTGTGGGCGCCAGATTAATTTTTTTCGCGTTCGCTTCAGCCAGCAAGGCAATTACTGAGCGAGCGTCGTGGATTGTCAGCGATTCTGTTCTTTTTTTGGATTGTCGAATTCTGTTTGCTACGTGCTACAAATTTTCTTAATACGTCGTTGTTACAAAATGAAGTTCAAAAAAAAAACCGTATTCTCAATATTTTCGGCCTGCCTACAAAGCCAAATTTCCAACAATTAAAGAATCCTTCAAAGGAAATAACTATGCATTTTGAAACGTGTGTGACTTCATAATAAGTCACGGTGGAAGAAGTGCGATATTGTGAAGCATGTTAAGTCTAACTTCGACAACGTCTAACTAAGCTTCGACAACATCAAAGAAAGTGGATGATTTTTTTTCAAATTCGGCTATGAATTCGGATGCCGATGTCATTTTGGCAGAGTGTTTGTTTACTGCATTCCTCATCGAACACAACGTGCCGTTAAGCGCTGCCGATCACGCCGGTCAACTTTTCAGACGGATGTTTCCCGACTCCAAGATTGCTCAGAAATATGCTTGTGCTCGCATGAAAACATCTTCTATTGTGAACGAATTGCTTGCGATACACAAAGTAAAATGATAGCTGCACTCCAGAATTCAGCATTTTCGGTGTCAATCAATGGCAGCAACGACAGCGATTGGAAGCTTTACCCCATCGTTGTCACATATTTCTGTGATGTTTCTAACGAAATGAAAACAAAACTATGTTTTGTTCTTCAATTTCACCAAAAACTCTAGAAAACATTTTAATTGCTAAATGTTATGAGGAAACTAATTGTTATGACGGGAAATTTTCCAAAGAATTTTTGGCTAAAGCCAAAAAATGCACTCTAAATTCATTGCAATAATTTTTTTTGTGTAACATTAAGTTCTTGTTTTATGTTTCCTAATAAATTTTTTAGTTACTACTTAATTGAGATTTACTAATGTAAGTACAATTTTCTTTTTTCTATTTGTATAAATTATTTTTTAATATCAAAGCATGATATTAATTCTTCGTGTTCTTCTTAATTTTGGAGAAATCTTCTAAATTTTTATCTTTAGAGGTTGGCAGGTATGCAACACCAATAAATTAGAGGTCTTGTGACTTTTAAGATACTGCCTTTGGATACTTACTAAATGGTTTGCGAACATCAAAGGTAAAAAGCCCACACCATGACCACAGTACATATATTATAGATAAAATTGTTTCATCTCATCAATTTCGATGACGAATGAGGTTAGGTTATTAAATTACGACAAAGCCTCGAGGGCTATCTGCCTAAGGGGAGGGATCCTGCTTCGTGGAGGACTTTCTAATGATGATGAATGAAAAGCCAGTGATGAATCAGTAGGTGATGTGATACATAATCAGCAACACATCTAGATTTCCAAAAGAATCTGAAATTTCCCTTACCATTTTAAAGACTATGTACCAAGAAACATGAATATGGACATTCGGTGCTATGTAACATGCCTGAATATACAATATACCTACATACCTTTTTCTTGCATCAATGCCTTTTTAATGAATAGTTTCATCAACCCTCTTACATTTTTCTTTATAATGTACAGTATACAGCATAATCATGATACAAATAAATGCACAAAATAATTTAAAGATAACATTAAATTGAAGTTTTTCAATCATTACAACTTTACGAAAACAGGTGAGAGATTGCATCAGATTACTATTATTAGAACAGCCAAGAGAAAATTTCATAAGTTTCTTTTGACCATGAGCTATTTGCCAATGTGTTTATTTTAACATTAGTGAGTGATTTTGTCAGGCAAGAACTTATTCAGTCCAATTTGTCTGATGATCAGGAGGAATTATATGATTGTTTTTTCTTCTCACCGATAAATTTTTTCATTGTCTGAGACACCTTACTGGTTTAACTGTGCTAGCTTATAAAAAATGGGAATTTATGAAACTCAAGGCTTTTTCCCACCTTTTTTGCATTTGCTTTTCTTTGGTTTGGTTGGCAGTTGAATGAGTTAGTGGTATTATGGAAAAGCATTTGCTGTTGCGATGGCTGCTGTCATTATTCTCAGTATTTTTATATGTGCTATTGCCTGTTTTCCTTCTAAGCTTCTTCTTTGATAACAATCCTTTTTCTGGACTTGGCATTTCACTCAATGGTGATCATGCTCCAGACACTAGTTGCACGATTTGCAAAACCTACAACATCCAATGCAACATTGTTTATTCATGCCTTGATTAATCTGTCATTCAAAACCTTCATCTCAAGAGGCAAGCCGCTTTGTTGTTTACTCTTATCCATTGCCTGTTCACATTTAGCTATTAATCCAAAGAGTAAATAGTAAGCCTGTTGGGAATCCCTGATGTAAACTATATTTATATTATCTATATAAATTTGCCAGTGTTTTGTTAGCCACTTTTAAAATGACATAATGATGGAGTTTTGAGTTTCAGAATGGCATTTTGAATTTGAATTTATGATGTGTATGCTGGAACTTTCATTAAATGCTAAAACTGTGTATACAATCTCTAATTGCATGAAAATCTTTTTCTGCAGAATAAGCAGAACACATTTTTCCTAATTTAAAAATGCAACACAACAATTTTTACGTATACATCAGGAGAAGAATTATGATTAGAGAGAAGTTTGCAATTTGCATTCAGTATTCTTTTAATCTTGAATTTTTTTCAAGCATTTAATAAGTGAAAAAAAATCATTAACATTATCATCAACATAAGAATTTATTTACAAATTTTACATATACACACACAAAAATATGATGATGATGAAGTAGTTCTGTGTCTCTAGAGCAAAGATAACGAACCTAAATTAGCCATTGATATTAGTGGAAGTATGCAATCTTCCTGGACTACTGTAGTACCAAATCTCAATTTGATTATACTATTACTTGCTCCATATCCTGTACAGAGCATCACTTCACTTTGTGAGGCATAAATCTTGAACAGTAACAGAAGATGGCAATTTCTACCTTCCACTGACTCTATTTCCATACAAATTGAAGGATGCCCATGTCTGATACAGATCTCTTCAATTTGTTCAACAACTTTCACATGAGTCTCAGTGTGGATATCAGAATGTACTGTAGGAAAAATAAGTAGTTAACAGTTATAAGCAGATACTGGCAATTACCCCCCAAAGTTCTGTACATTAATTTCCCTCTAAAATACAGCCATTATTGCATATGTTGTGTTAACATGGAATTTTGCAAAATGTGCAAGTTAGTTTGCTGACAATACTAAATTAATTTTTGAGAAAGTGAATTTTTTGCACACATTATTTTCAGTGTTGTAGGAATGCAGTATTCCAATGTTCATTAAAGAGATTTTCTGAGCTGTTTTTTGCACTGAGGGGGGGGGGAGAATTTTACATTCTGGACTGCATTCAATTACCAGTTGCCGCTGCCCTTTCTCTTCTTTGATCATGCTCTTGTTGACACCAAATCATTTACCCATGTCAATATTCTTCACTATGAAATATACACTCAGTTTAGCTGCTGAACTGCATTATTTACTGATTACCTTCAAATATTCTTCCAAATGTAAGGATGATCTTATTATACCAATATGAATTTGTAATTATTAATGTATTAGAAAAAGATGTGCTTTTGAATGATGGTGTCTGTTATATTACATTATTACCAGAAATATTTAAACTACATATGTGTTTGCTTCTTATAGTAGTTTTCAAAACATAGCAGTGGATGTCATATTATCTTTTTGAGTTATGCATGCAGTTCACAGTTGCATGCATGCACAACCTGCATGCAGTTCACAGTTGTACACAAATTACATGTTGCCTGCAGTAAATCCCACGATGACATATATTTTCTTTTTACAATATTTCAGAAGCTATGAGTGTCAGTACAAGGGCTTGATGTGTACAAGCTGCAAAAGAAAACACATTAAATTATAAATATACATCGGCAAATTTATCAGAACATACTGTGATTAACTATTTCAATCTCAGAAGCTTTACAGTTCTGTCTTCAGAGTCGCAGCCAAAATTTTTCAGTGGGTACAAGCAATTTGCCTCTCATTTAGCTCAAAGTCGCATTAAATCAAATTCTTATAATAAAGAGCAGTTTGCATTTAGTTACTAAATAAAGAAAAGGAATTCCTTCAGCTGCTCTTAGCCAACTAGGATTCTTCTGATAACTGACTATACAAGATTCAGACAGTAAGATAGCAATATATTTTTAATACTATTTATGCTTAAACTGTTAAAAATTAGTTAATCAGAGCATGCCCTCAATCTCAGCTTTTTACATTTTCAACATGAAATTCAAAATGAACCATAAATTTTAAACTTGTACGAGTATCAGTTTTATTTTAGAATAAGAAGTCTTCCAAAAAACCTAGATATTGTACAGACAAAGCCAAACTGATGCATAATATAATAAGATACTGCATTATGACGTTTCTATTGACCATTAATAATTAATTTTTTAATTTGCAGCTAAACCGATAAGAATTTCAAAACAATGTCAAAATGGGTGCCATGTTCTAAACACCAAAATAATAAAGAAAAATAAAATTATATTTCTGAAACTTATTGCCATGGTGATAATCTTTCTACAAATGAATAATAGCTATCAAGAAAATGGAAATGAAATATATATTAGCAACATACTACATCTATGGCATATGCCAAATTTTACTGAAAGACATTATAAATGTGCACAGATATATTCATGATGTCTAGACATGCTCTTTTTTAAGATAATCTTTGTTCATATTTGATGAATTGAGTAAATGTTTTTTTAAGGTGTCATACTTGACCTTGATATCATTATGGAAAATTTAGTAATAATATGTTTATATGTCTTATTCTTGCTGTAATTGTGTACAAAAAGCTGAACTATTACTTTTAATGGTATGGCAAGTTGATAGTTTATTTTATAAACAGTTTCCATATTTTGATTTCAATTTCTCCACACCTGTCTACATAAATGTTCAAATTTCGTCTAAAGGAATGGGTATAAGTTAAAAATGAATGGTTCTGTTTCTCAGATTATTACTTAAATTGTTCACTAGAATCATTCTTTATTATTTTATTCTTATATTAAGTTTTAAATAATGTGTAGAAACTACCATTCCTTATTTTTTTAGTAATATAAATTTAGTGAACTATAGTTATTAAATTAGATGGTAATTATGTTTAGTTTTCTATCCAAAAGGACTGCACGTTTAATTTCTATCCAAAAGGAAAAAATTAAATATATTTTAGAAAAGTCGATTTGCATATCATAAAAATGGACTGAACACACAGCAAAGAATAACAAGAACTTTTTGATAATTTCACATGTAACTATAACTGACCTGAAGTTTGATTGTCCCTGTACTATCTTGATTTACTCTTATTAAGTTAGCTGATAATTAGGTTTAGTTTTCTATCCAAAAAGAATGCATGTTTAATTTTCTATCCATAAGTACTGATTGTTTAATTTTCTATCCAAAATGAAAAAAAAAAAAAAAATTAAATATATTTTAGAAAAGTCAATTTGCATATCATAAGAATGGACTGAACACACAGCAAAAATAATGAGACCTTTTTGATAATTTAACATGCAACTAAAACTGACATGGAATTTGGCTGCCCCTGTACTATCATGATTTTTAGGGCGGATTTTTTTCTGTATTTAATGAACAATTATCTTTCACATTTATATTATTTCACATAAATCAATGTAAGTATCATTGGAACTTCTCACCTAGGTGCTTTTTTTTTTTTTTTTTTTTTTTTTTTTTTTTTTTTTTTTTAGTTTAATTAATCATTATTACATTTCAAATAAGCTCATCTGTTTCTAAGAGTTATACTTTTATTTGGACTTAACTACAAATTGAGTTCAAAACTGTAGGTCCAATAAAAATCATTAACTTTTAATATTAAAAATTATGCTGAAATAAACAAAACTGAAGGCTGAACTCTTCAATATTTCCTATTTCAAAAGTAAATTGAAAACAAACTGTAAATGGAGGCAATAAATAATCAGAACAATTTAAAAGATTTTGACTCGCAGTAGCAACACACATTAGGTAACACTTAAAAGAATTTTCATTTACAGTAATAATACATATTAAAATAATACTTTTATTAATATGATTTTTTTTCCTGAACACATTATCCATTTCTATTTCAACAAAACATAAAATCATGAAACTAATATTTTATTAACGTAAGCATTAGAACACCACATAATATTATTTTTTCCACACTGAATTAAAAGTAGAAATTATTTTGTACATAAGTAAAAACAAAGATCACCTTAACAGCTATACCTCATGTTATGATTGTCAATGAACGACGTGGGTAACAATGCCCAGTGAGTATGTAAAGGGTTTGGGCAGTAGGTTGGTGGCCAGCAACAAACCTTCTGAGTGTCCCATATGCACTGAGTGGGATTAAGGTCCTGAAACCATGCTGACTGTTCCATTTGAACTATAGTTTCTTCTTTAAGAAATTGGTACATGAGGTAAGCAGTGTGAGGACAAACATCATCTGCTTGCAAAATGAAGGTATCACAAATTGTGGCAGAATAAAGACAAATAAGAGGATTTAGTATGTCATCTCTGTACCTCCTACCACTCAGAGTTCCATATAACAGCACATAAAATTCTGTGCACCCACTTAGATACTCCTTCCCATGCACACAAATATCTCTTTCCCAAATGTTAGGCAGAAGATGTCGAGTTTTTGGTTTTCTTCATACGTACACATTTTGAGAATCAGCAGAAGTCATCAATGAACAGAACAGACCTGCACTGATTTTCAGGCCAAACAGCATGACTACATACGCAATTCAAATGTTCCCTCTAGTGGTGAAACACACACGGGATGCACTGTCTCAGTTGCCTAGCATACAGACCTCTTTCATGCAGCCTTTTGCATAATGTCCTGGTTGATACTATTCTTACTTAGCAGAAATAAGCACAGATCTAAACGAGATGAAGTTGCAGGCATCTTGCCTGTGCACTAAATTGCAGCTACCTTTGGTAGGTCTTCAAGAAGCTGAACAAGTAGTTAGAAATAACCGGTTTACTATGTCAACATTTAGCCATTTTGCAATGCCAGACTGTCTTGGCTTACTTCTAATTGACCTATGGCTCTATAACACAATTCTGCTAGCAAATGTTGCCTCAAACTCATTTTTACATTCTGGATATCTCAAAATTAATTAATATGCCAACATTCATTGAACAGCGACAACAATTCCTCTCTAACAGTTGGTTTTAAGCTGCATCGTATTTCTGTTAAGTGGTGGCAGCGCTATTGTTTTGTATAATGCTACCTGATGCAATTTGCTTATATTTGTAACATACCGAAGAATTCTGAACTACTTTTAGCGATTTATCACAATTTTTCAGCTTGAAGCTTGTGAAAATCTATGTATTTGTAAAATGCATATGGCAGGAAAGATTTTACATTCAGAGAACTGAATTATTAACTTTTCATTGCATAGAAAATCAAAGAGCTCACTGAGCTAAATGCAATTCTCAATATTTATAATCTCATTTCAAACAGAAGACAGGCAGCAAATGTTATTGCTAATAAATACAATTACTATACTGTAATAACATATTTTGTTCATCATTAACAAATATTGAAATGCATAAAGGTGGTACTTTTTTGGGGGCAGGGCTGGAAATTTTCAGAAAAATTCAGATGTATAAAAACCATAAGTTTCTTTTAAGACAGATTAAAACAAAATCAGTGGGAATGAAAAAATCGAGCAAGTTTAAATATATTTTTAGACTATCACTGCTCAGTAAAAAGACCAAGTATATTTAAATAGATTTTTTTAGGTTATCACTGCATTTAAAGCTCCAGATACAGGTAATACTAAATATACTTTCCAAAATAAATGGAATCTGTAGTATAAATTTTGAGAAATGTAAAAATTCCGACACTCCCAGAAATCTACCTCTCCCTTTTGGGTGAAGGGAGAGGGGAAATTTTTTTTTAAATTTGCCTTGGAAAAGGCCAGTTTAGCATTCCAGACTAATTGTGTGAAAGAATGCAAGCTTATTTTCTATTAACTTAAGAGTATGATAATTCTCAGTCCAAAATCAACATCCTACTACTATAAAAAGTAATGTTTCCAGTGCTATTCTGAAATTGGGCTAATTCCTGGTTAGCAATTCCTAATTGATATAAACATAGTGAATATGATTTATGTCAAAATATTAAAAATAATGTTCAATATTTTAAATAGAAGAACAGGTACAAATTTTGGGTGCAAATATGAATTTATTTGATATGTGAAAAACTGGCACTGAATGAGAAACACTGTTTAAAGAATTTTTTGTATCTTTCATAAGCAATACTTACTGTTTTATCATCTGTTGTGAATCTACTGATCATGAAAATTTGTCTCTAAAGCAAAAAAACAACCCCCCCCCAAAAAAATAATCCCCAACAGTTTAAAAAATTTTCTATAAATTGAATTTTTCTAAACTTTTGGGAAAACTTTGGGACCAGTATGTATAAAACAAATCATAATCATAGTATACATCATATTAACCATGTTCATCTACTAGAGTATGTTATAAGCATTATTTTAATATGAACAGTAGTAGTAGTAAATGTTCACATATGAACAATTCTCATCATTTGCTGCTTGTACTAAATGCTTCGGGAGCAGAGAAGCAATAAAAAATTATTTTCCTCTTTTTTCTCTTTTAGTTCCCTAGTTCTTTTTCATCTTTCAGTAAATTAGTTTCTGAATAAATTATGTGCTTTCTATAAATGTTTCATCTAATGTTTGAGATGAAATGAGGATTGTGTAATGAAATTATGATTACGAAAGTTATTTTGCATGATTAATTAAAGCAAAATTATATTTCAAATGGTTGCAAGGTTATAAGTCGAACATCGAGAATAAATATTGGAAAATGGTGGTAACTGGAGATCACCCCATGCACTCCTGTAAGTTGTTTTAATGCAGTAGAAAATAATCTTACATTTGCTTTTAATACTTCCCATAGCTTACAATTGAAATTACTTTATTTTGTTCTTTTGCAAAATTGAACAAAATTTCAAATTAATAAATAATTTGAATAAGGCACTGCAATATAAAGGGTTGAGGTACCCTAATGACTTCAGTTCAATGAAGTATTTCCATACATTTATATACAGAATGTCTAAAAATTTCATGTAGAAACTTTGAGAGGAAGCAGACATCAACATGAACCACATTCACATAGGAAAGCCAGACTGGAAATGGATAGGTGGTGTACAGTGTCATTTATTGCTTGATTGCGACATGCAAATTATGCATGTCAAAGTCTTATCTCTCAATCTGCAATGGATCCAGTTGCACAGAAAAGATAATCTACGATATGTGGCATTCGCACAGCAGTCTCTGAGCCAAAGTTCAATTGCCATGGAATTTCCATGCTGCGTTTGGTTTGTAGATGAAAAATTCTTTTACCATGGTAGCTTTTCCAGTCCCCACAGTCTATGTCAATCTAGACATGTTAGTCTAGGAGAACTCATACACTACGTGACTTCATGCTATATAATACCATTTTACCTTTCATGTGTTCTATCTACATGTGTTCTATCTTTCATGTGTTCTATGTACTTCATATCTTTTACGTTTTATGAATGTCTGTTTAATCCACCCATACCTGTCACCACACTGACTAGATGCTTAGAAGTAATACAACTTTTCTGGAAGAGATTCTGTTTGATTTACTGAACAATGCTTCAAGACTGTGCATCTTTGGTCATGGTTCCAACACAATGGAGCTTCAGCTATTGCACCATACATGCATATGAGTATATATGAAACAGATCTTTGGAGGTCAATAAATTGCATATGGTAGATCCATAATATGGTCTCTACGTATACCTGATATACATATACCTGATTTGTGGGAGACCTTCAAAGCCACTGTATACAAAATGCCCTTTGCTTCTAATATGGAACTCATGGCAAGAATTACCATTACTGCCTCTAGTATTAGCAAAATTTCAGATAACTGGAAATATTTAGTAATCAGTGCAGCATCGATATCAAGCATATATCGCTATTAATGGTCAAAACTTTAAATATTTCTTATGAAAAGATATTCTGTGTCTACCATTTGCTGAAGTACTAAATTTCAAAAGATATTTTGTTTAATTAACTAGCTATCTTATTATTTTGGCTTTTTCGTATTTCTACAAAAATCAGCTTCCAGCAAAATGTAAATCAGTTTAAAATTCAAATAAGTGTTTGTTTCAAAGTTTATCGGGAAGTATTTGGCAGCTGTTTATTCCATATTTCTGCTGCCTGCATTTTTTTTTTTTTTTTTTTTTTTTTTGTTTTTGTGTGTGTGTGTGTGTGTTTGTTTGTGTGTGTGTGTGTGTGTGTTATGTGCTAAGTCAATGGAAACCAACTTCTTGATTACTTTTTGATTTACTAAATTAATTTGTAAATTTATTTTGAGAAGCTTATTAATTTACAAGACAGTGATTTTTGTGATACTTTTACTTTAGTAAGTGAGGCAGGACAAAAATATATCTAACAGTCTTTTATGGTTACTTTGGTTAGTTGGTAGTTTAAACTTAACAACATAACTGTATAATTTCACCTAATAAAATGTTTTTTGTATTGTGTTTTTGCGGTGCTTTTGTGTGTCTTATTGTGCTCTATGTCTTTGTGTGTCTTATTGTGTTCTGTGTCTTCTATCTCCTAATCTCATACAGGTGGTGTGCCTGATTATGCTTTTCTACATGAATACAGTTCATGTAGAAATGTGTGATTTCTATACCTCCCCTCAAATTTGGTAAGTAGAGTATTCAGGCATGCTGCAAAAATAGTATAAACAGGGGTTATCCCAGTTAACTTTATCTTTAAAATAAAATTACCTTTTGGAGCTTCAAGGAAATACTGATGAGATAAACATTTCTCTGCAGGAAGTCTAAGTAAAAAGAAAGAAAACATATTAAAAATATAACTTTAATTACTAAATTATAGTTTTCATTAAAATTTTGACACATAAATGAGAAACTAAAATAAGTTATCTAAAATAAAAATTAAAATAAATGTCTAAAAAATATAAAACAATATGTAAATATTAGTTTTTGTTTGAAATAAATAGTTTTTACATGCTATATGTTTCCCATGATCTCCTGAAAGACCTATTTTGATATTTGAATTTTAAATCATTAATCACGACTTTTAAATGTTTTCATAAATTATACATGAAAATGTAAGAAAATACTTCCCAGACACATATATAATATATAATTATTCTGTTTTTGCAGATGCTTTACATCTGCACTTAAATAATAAATAAATTCGTAATTTGAAATTTAGACTTATAAATTAAAAAAATATTAAAAAATTATTTAATTTTTATAAAACAAAAAGTAAATAACAACAAATACTTTATATAGCACATTTCAAAGTGAAAGATATTTTCTTAACTTACAGCTACTGACAAAATTACATCCCAAGGCATCCCTGCTTGAACGACAATAAGATGAGTTATTCATTTGCATTTATAAATTGAGACTTTTAAAAAATTGGGGGGGGGGGGAATCAACCATCTTTCAAATCTGTACCCTGTTTGCTTTGATTCATAACTGATGTCTCTAATAGATAAATCATCAGTTTTCAAACATATTACTGAGTTTCTTCTCAATTATTAAGTAAATAAGAGCCAATGTACCTAAGGAAGTCCTCTATAAAACCTCCATTTCATTGGGCTGATGCTTTTGCATCTTTATTGTAACCAATGGGAAAAAATATAGAAAAAAGTCTGAAAGGATTCAGATTTTAAAGATCATCCAAAAGGGCTCTTTTAAAGTTTAATATAGTTTATCAGCAGAGATTATCATTAAACCAGATAGAATAGTGAACATTTTATAGGATATTTAGATGAATATGCATTTAGACTAACATAGAAATATTTACATATCTTCTGTATATTTAAAAAATAAAAAAATATGTAATGTAATTCTATAAAAACATTTTTTTAAATTTGATATATCATGAATTTTTATTTAAATCATTGATATATCATGAATTTTTATTTAAATCAATCAGATTAAAAAGTAAAAAAATAACATTTTGAGACTAATAACCCTTTTGGGCTTAAAAAAATATTCACGGGGGTAACAAAAATTGCTTTACTAATAATTAATTTTGCAAAAAAAATAAATAAATTAGCAATGTTTTTCAACTTTTTTTGGTGTAAGAAATTAATCTAGATTGCTTTGGCCATGAGTTACATAAAAACTAAAGCATATATAGCACAAATCATTAAAGCTTATTAAACACATCATTTCTAAGAGATTTTCTTCAGCTTTTCTCCAACCATGATCTCTTATGGTATATTTGTTTTTCTCATTTAATTTCTTTTCAGATGTCCTCGTAGGAAATTCTTAAAATCTGGTTCTTTTAAGCAGTAAGGATGCTAACTTAATGAATGGTTTTCCTTTTGCAACATGGTCAAGTTACAGGAATCTAATAATATAAGCAAATGCTTTAAAATTAAGCCAATGCAGTACTTTCTAGATTTTTAGGAAGGATTTTTATTGTTAAGGAAACTACTGCAAAACATTTAACGGCAATTCAAAGTTACAAAGTTAAATATCTCTGATCAAACCATTACTGTGCAACACAATAAGGAAATTATATATAATATGAATAATAAGGTTAATTGAATTCCTGTCATTGCTTTAAACTAAAATTACAAACTTTATTTTAAATGCATATGAACTTACTCATTAAACTAATCTTCTGAGCATATTCAGCATATTAAAAGGACATCAAGCAATGACTTGGAAACCTTGCAGTGGCAGTGAAAAATCATGTGTTTCAATTTATTCATATACTGATCATGTATCATGAAAATAAAAGCAAACATTATTTTCACTCAGTATTTATATATTATCACAACTACTTTAGTAGAAGTCACCAAACTGACAACTGTGCACCTAACAGTTCTTTAGGTAACCATATCCATTGTAAGTTGCAATCCAAAAATTCACAGGATCACCTTTATTTCTGCAAAAAATTGCCAAACTGCACCAAGGTGGTTGCGCTAATACATAAGTACCTTTAATTTTATTTCTAAATTGTTAATAATATTTTTCTGTTAATTATAATATGGATTATCCCTTCATCCAGTGTTTTTAACTGCCTTAGATTAAATGTGCTTTTAAGTTAACTGCAGACATTATCCTTGATATTACTCTGGTAACTGAGAGTTAATTATATTTGTTAAAAGTCTGATTCAATTTTTTAAGAAATGAGTAAACTAGAATTATAATAAAAACTCTCCATTAAAATACATTGCTGTAGATTTTTATTATTTCCCTTTTCTTCATATTCACCAAAGAATAAAATAACTGGTACTTAAGTATTATCCCATTGACCGTAAAACTGTCATCAAACAGTGCAGTTTAGAGCCAGTTACGGATAAGCATGATAAAATAACACACTCATAGCAATCGTGCTTTTGCTTGATGTAACCTGGTTGATTTTCTTTGTTTTTATGAATAAGGATATAAATTAATTGTTATGTGTTTTTTCATGCATTTTGAAAAAAAAAAAAAAAAAAAAAAAAAAAAATAATAATAATAATAATAATAATAATAATAAAATAATAAAATAAAATAAATAAAATAAAAAAGAGTCAAATTTAGGACCTACTTTTTATAGAACAGTAAGCAGTGAATTATTTTCAAAATTTATGGATCCTGTCATCAGAAAAGTGTATATTAATTAACATGATAGGGTCAGCTGAATATGACTGACAAGACAGTAAGAGGTTAGAATAATAATCTGTGGGAAGTTTGTAGAATTCTAAACAGCGCTTCTGCAAAAATCAGATTGCCTGACAAAGCAATAGAAATCAACAAAATTGTTTTTACAAAGGGCAAAATTGCAGTATATTGAATATTGATTGTTTATTAAATAAAGATGTGTCAGTTACTTCAGAATTCTGCAGGAACAATTGGTACAACTTTGACAAAATCTTCGCCAACTTTCAGGTTCAGTGGGATAACACAACTTATAAGTTATACTTTTTTAGAAGTTTGAAATATGAACATATCAGTCTTTTGATATGTGATCATATACTCATAAAATATAGAATGTCAACTAAACAAGAATGCCTTAAATATAACACATTTACAGTAGATTTAATGAAAAGGTTGTTTCATGGTTACCTGTTTTCAGGGTTGTAAACTAATAAGTCATTCAATAAATCAACACAGGAACTAGGATGGTCTTCAAAAGTTTTTGAAAGTTTATTATTCCTGAAATGTAAATATAAATTCTGAGTTACATAAAATTTATATTTCACAGTCAATATAATCACGATTACTACATAAGTATTTTATGATGAAGAATCAGAAGGTACACACAATTAAAATTAAAACAAAATAAAATTATCTTGGCTTACATGCTAAAGAACATTAAAGTATTACTAAGATTGGAGCTCACCAGCTTCATCAACATAGGCATTAATGGCCTATGCTGATGCCTAATCAAATTAAGATACAGTAAAAAAACGTAAAGTCAACCTCAGCATGCACATAAATAACCATTCACTCCCAATTATAAACTCTGTTAAATAGCCTGGAGTCATGTAGGGTATGCAGTTAAATTTTTAAGAGCACGTAAATGTAGCACTCAAAGAATATGCCTCCTACAGCTTCATTGGCCATAAACTGAAATTACACCTAAATGTGAAGAGAACTCTCTATGTTGTTGCACTTATCTGCCCTGTTCTTTTCTAGGGAGCTGCAATTTGGGCAACCCTTCCAAAAACTGCCATAAGAAAATCTGGATTTTTCATAATAAAATTCTCAGAAATGCTACCAGTGCCTCTTGATTTTTGTAGAACATCCATTTAAATTAAGATCTTGATATTCTCCAAGCTCAAGATTTCATGCTAATGAATGCAAATAATTTCTACAAATCTATTGCAAGTTCTGACTATCCACATAATATTAATTTAATAAATTACGATCTAATGATTCTGTACCCCTACAAGCAGCCAAAGACGATTTTTCATAAAGCAGCTTACTAGTTCATGCAAATAACTTTAATAAAAAATAAATTACTTTAATGCATACATTTATATATATTCTGAAACAAATTCAATTTAACAGTTTTGGACTTCCTGGCAGGATCTGTATTTTGCTTTATTATTTTCACCTTATTATTCATGTATTTTATTCTATACTTCATGGGTATTCATTATGTTATGTTTTTTCATTTTGTATTTATTTACCAGTACCCCTCTGCTGTGTTTTAAATTTCTGTTTCATTACTATTCACCATTACAAGTCTTCATTCTTCACTAGATGGTAACTTAGAACAACAACTTTCTCAATTTTGCCTGTTACTGAGTCATTTCTCACCAGCTTGAATATGCATAAATTTTTCATCTCTGCGGACTGTTAATTAGTGCTTATTACAAATTACTGCCAAATGGCTTAGAGCACCCACCAACAATAGGCTGCAGTGGCTAATTGCCTAAGAATCATCACAGAGAATATTCATCACTTTTCATTTCTGTTTTTGTAGCATTGCTGTATGTTTTAGAATCAATATCCAGATGCATGGTAGATAAAATGGCAAGTCTGTAGTGAAACATAACATTGTGACAGTTTCTATAGCTTCTTTAATTTTAAGGTTACTCTCATACTGGGATTTCTTATTGGTTCTAGCTTTTGCCCTGTTCAACTACTGAGTTTGAATATTATAAAGAATATTTTATTATAAATAAATGTATTATTTTCATTACTATATTGATTGACAAAGATTTTATTAATATCTCTCGTATGTTTGGAAATTCTTATAGATAATTTTATATATTGATATATCAAACCTATATACCGAGCTTCTGTATTTGTTTCTTCATAGCAGATGGGGATGGTATATATATCCTATATATCTGTTTGGGCTGGCACCTGATTTCATAACAATAGACAAACTACTTGTGGAAACTCTGACATTAGTAATTTTTAATGTAAGTTTGAACACACAAATCAAGACTTTTTATATTTTGAAATTTTAATTATTTTATATTTATTTATTCATGCATTTAAAAAAATTAAACCTTAACAGATTTATCAAGGAAAAAAAAGAGTAAGACAGACTAATTTATCAGTAAAAAAAATATATATATATATACATACGGCTGCCACCACAAGTCATAATTTTGTAAAAGAGGAAGCTTAGACAGACCCTGAAACAAAATCAAAATTTTACTTATGTTTAACCAAACTGATTGTAACAAAACAAACTAAAGATGTATATAAATACTGAAATGTGATTTAAAAAAGTAAACATCATTTTTACGATTGCTGGCATTCAGATATAGCATTAAGCGTAGAGCTCCTGTATCTAAACAACTCTATAAATCCTTAATTTCTGAATATAAGCCAATCCATATCCCTTACAGGACTGCACTAGATCATTTGAATTATGGCAAAGCAGAAGAGGGCTATCTTGCCTAGGGGGAATATGTTACCGAGAAGAATTTTCTAAAGGAAACTAGCTTGTTTTCATGTTACTTATAGTAGTGACTACTCTTATCCTCACAGGAAGCTAGTAAATAACAGTTGAGCATCTTGTTTAGTATAGTGGTTAAGGAAGCCAGCTGCCATAGTGTTGGACCTGGGTTTGAATCTTATGTTAGAAATGACGAATGTGTTGCCATGAGTGAAGTCTCTTGTCCCAACATGGATGAATTTTTACCCATTTGCAGGAAAAAGCAAGTTTTCATTATTTACCAACTGTATTATATTTTATTACTACATTTTATTAAAGCAGTTTTTCTACTCCAAAGTTCAAATTAAAATTTAAAGTATGTCATATCTACATTAAAGTTTAACAATATTTTTAACAAAACATTGGTCATGTAAAAGCAACAGTGAAGTTTTTGATTAATTTCAGGAGTTGATTTGTTTTATTAACTTTACTGATCACTGTTAGATAAAGCTTGAGTTATATTTTAACATAATTACCTTTGTTTAATCTTTAATTAATATTAGTTATTTAAAATTTAATTTCATTTAATATTTGTTTAATCTTACCAACAAACCTAAAAATGTATATAAAACTTTAAAGTTGGATTTATTCTCTACTTTTTAATTCTCCCAATCCAGTTCCCATATATTTCATACAGCGAATTTCACGTGTTTACTTACTTGTTTCGTTAGAGCAGTGGAGCTTAATATTAATAGTTATCTATCCTCTTCTTTGGGGAGGGGGAATTCTCCTGCAGTTGTAAAATCAGTAGACCCCTGTAGAGGTTTTTAGCTTTTATACTGAAATTTTCTATATATCTAAACAATATAGATACTATGTTTCTGAAATTCAAGCCTTATTTGTGCCTGGATTTGGCCAACTGGCATGCTAACAATCTCTGAAATCATCATGGTGATTAGTACCTCTTCATGTGGAATGAAAATATGTAGCAAGATTATAAGTTCAGCATACATAATGCTCTCTTTTCACCATCATAATTTAAAGAACTTAGCTTCGTATATGAATTTACATCAAATATTAAATTGTTGTGAATCTGTTTCAAAAGTATAAAATTTAGTATAGGGACAATAAAAGCAAAACCCCAATGAACCTAATCATCAACAAATTTTAAAAAAAAGTTCTTAATGGTGTAAATTTTATGCAAATTATCTATTCACATGTAACTTAGCCTAAACATTCTTACAGAATGCTGTTTCTCTAAATGCATTCAATGAGACGTCACAAATAAAAAAGAAGTACAGTCAAAAGTCGTTAATCCGGACTCGTCGGGACTTCGGCGATTCCGGATTATAGATCATCAGTTTAAATCTGGTAATATGGCATGCAGAAATTATAAAATTAAAAATATGAAACCGTAATTTATGAAATAAAGAACAATTATGATCTAAAGGGAATCAAAATTTACAAAACAAAAAAGTCTAATATTTATTTGTTTACTTTATTAAACATTTCTTTCAATGTAAGTTGTTTAAGTTGCTTCGTTTGTTATGTGATAATACGTTCTCTTTAATTCTATAAACAGACATAATTTCTTGTTCAGTTACAAAGTTCCGCTGTTCAAGTCCTATAATTGCTGTGTCGAGAATACCGACTAATTTGTCAATCAAAATTTTTTTGTTTTTAATAACCTCTGTCATTTTCTTCGCTATCGGAAGCGAATTATAATGACGAGGAATTTAATTTAAATCATATCAAAGACGGAGTTTATCAATGATGAAATACTATATTTAGTAAGGAATTATAAGCCAAATAAAATAAAAACATCTGCCCTGAAGATAAGGATAGTGCTGACAGATCAACTTCCAATTCATTGCGCGCCCCAGCGTTAAAGATAAACAAAGTTTAGATAAACAAACGTTAAAGTTTAGATAAACAAAGGATACGCCTTTATCCATTTTTTGCAGCAATTCCACTTTTTGTTTAATGGACTTCGAAACATACTTTTGCTTTTGTTCTGAGGCTACTCATTTTTGAGTTATGTGAGATACATGCATACATATACAGACGTCACGAAAAAATCTCTTCAGAATTTATTTAAAATCTGCTTTAAAATTTTTTTTGGGGGAAAAGGGTCCTTTATTCTGCCCCTTATGTCATGCAAAAACATCATTAAATTGCATTCGATAGCGGTCAAAATGAATATTTTCGTTGAAATATGATACCCAAAATTTTTCACGGTTACAATACTTCCTTTTTACTTCATACAAGGAAGTAAAAACACATAAATCTTAAAGACAAAATATCTATAAAAATATTTTCTATAAATTTATGATTTTGCATTGTTCCTTCTAATATATTACCAAAATGTTTGTGAAGGATAGTGGTGTTCTATTTCTAATTAATCAAAAACATTTTTGTCTAGTTGTTGTCTTTCATGTAGCTTACAATATATTAGAATCAAGTTTTGTAGATACAAAAATTCCTCAGATAAAGAAATTTTGTAAAATATGGTTGCTTAACAGAAAATGAACTAGAGTGATATGAAATACAAGAATTTAATTTCTTACTAGAAGACATTACCACAGTGGTGATCATAATTATGATCTTGTTTGCCCCTTTATATGAAACAAAGAAATGTACAGCTAATTCCTGATTAACAGGGCCCTATCTGATTTTTTTTTTCTTATTGGAAAAAAATAGAAAAATTACCATCACAAATCATCAATGCAGTAAAAAAAAATAATAATAAAAAATAAATAAATAAATATAAAAAAACTTGCACACATGAAAAAAAAAAAAAAAAAAAGAGAGAGAGAGAGAGAGAGAGAGAGAGAAAGGAAAATGAGGTAATAGCAGCGATAGTAGCTGATGCGAGTAAGATGGACTCTGTGAAACAAAAATTCTAATTAACCTTTTTCAAATGACTGTTTAAATTCCCTTCTAATTGCTTTTCTTTAATATCATATATAACTTATTTTCTAATGATGTTTAGTCTTTCTTTATTTAAGGTGTGCTTTTTTTTTGTTTTGTTTTGAACACTGGTTTCATTTCCATAATTAAATTAATTTATTCTCCAAATTTAATTTTTTAAAAATACAGACAGATGGTTAGTAGTGTGTTTTCTTGTTAATGACATGTGAATTGATTCCCTTTCCAGCATCTTTCTTCCAACTGCCTTCAGATTAGCTTTGAGTGAACTGTGAACATAATGTCTAGTGTTACCTTTGTTAACTGACAATTCACTGTAAATCATTATGATATTGATATCTATAAGTAACAGTACAAATGATGTTCAAATACCAACTATTTTATTCCCGACATACTTTTTGCTACTTCTGATTAGTAAAATGTGTGTTATAAGATTTGTCTTTCACATGGCAACATTGCCCCCCCCCCGAAAAAAAACATAAAACCTGAATTTGACTTATCCCTTAAGGCCTGTTACTATAGTGACTGCCCCCATTACACATATGGGTGGAAGTAGGAATCACAACAGACAAATTAAATGCTCATGCTTAAGCACTCTCTCATATGTTCCTTGGCCATAGTAACTCCCCACTTTTCTTTCTACTTTATAAACACATTTGCTGCTAAAGAGAAGTATTAAAATATTCCATATTGCAGAGATAAATAATATATCATTATAATTTTTTAAATAAAGCATATTAAACATGCCTTAAAGTTAATAGTAATTTATCAAATCCTATGTCAATTTTTTCTTCATTCTTTCATTACAGGAAAAAAAAGCTCTTGTCACAGATTTAAGCTCAATTAATATATATTGAATATAACATCTGCTCTACAGATCTGGTTGTATGTGAAAAGTAGTTAAAAACATACTGGCCATATGCTTTCAGTAGGAGTCCCAAGGCTTTCAATTATCAATCTGATTATATCACAGTCAGAATCTGCACGGAAAAGTGGTTTCTTCAGTAGAAGTTCTGCAAAAATACATCCAGTAGACCTGAAATGCAAAAAGTATGATTAAAACTTTAACACATACTATTTCTCATTTAATCCAGATTCATAAATACATGATTAATAGTCACAGATTTGTAATTACTGCAACTTTTCACATATTCAACAAGTCATATAGCAACACATAGCAACTGCAACACACATTGCAGTAAAAGCTCAAGCATCCAGAACTATCCATAATGATCAGGAAATATCAGATTCTCGATGAGTGTATGCAATTCACAGTAGAAAAGCCATGCAAAAAGATGAAAAAAAAAATCAGAAAATAACAAATTCTGGATACGTGAAATTTCTGGATAGGTGAGCATTTATAAAAGCAATTGATGGTAGAAAGACATATGACACAGAAAAAAAAATTCCGGTCTAAAATTATCAAAACAGTCATCTTATATGTTAAAACAATCATCTTATTTATTACTAGCTTGAACATTAAAAAAGATGAAAAAAAAGTGCATTTTATACATAAAATCCAACATATGAAATTAAAGGCCAAATGTGTAGGCCTTCAACAAATGAAATTAAAACATCTTAACCAATCATAAAATACCACCAACCATGAAAGATTGCAGAGATATTGCTAAACTTGCAACAGTCATTCTGGTTGAAGCTTATAGGAAAATGATTGTTCTTTATTTAATTAGAATCATAAGATTCAAGTTACAGATGACAATTCCCGACATACTTTTTGTTACTTCTAATTAAGTAAAATATATGTTATAATATAATATTTGTATTTCATAAGGCCAACATTAGCCCCCCCCCAAAAAAAAGTAACAATAAAGGCCAAATCATCCCTTAAGGCTTGTTACTCTAGTGACTGCCCCCATTACACATACTGATGGCCCAACATTAAGAAAGTTGTAGCATTGTGCACGTGAACCTGCATTCCTTGCCAAACACTTAAAAAGAGAGCAATGCAATTCTAGTCACACTTTAGAAATTATCAGCAGGGTTTTGAGAGCACTGTATGTGCTTTATGATGGCTTTATAAGTCTCCCATTTGCTTAATTTTTCAGAGTGAATGTTAAAAAATACCCTGAAATTCTAAAATTTTTCAATTGCTCGAGAACCAGAAGCTTTAAATAAAAAGCAAAAAAGCATGCAAGGGCTGCTGGCCTAGAAAAAGAGATGCTTTTGTGAATGGTTTTCTAAGAGTTAATGCAGATATAAGAATTTAATGCAGATATAAACTTCATTTAGCTGTTGAAAAAAAAGTTTTTTTCCAAGGCTACACTGGTAAATGCTGGGAAGATGGTAAACTCTAGCTTATTTGACTATTGTAACAAACTATCAGTGTTTTATGGCTTTAGCCACTCAGTCACTTCCTTTCATTTAAAGATGGTCTTGTAGTGGCCCAGTTATTACATGAGTAATAGTTATTTTTAATTTCAAGCATTTTATATTTTTGCATGTGTTTAATTATTTCTTTAACATTCACGTTTTGTTAATATTCTTATTTTTATTTCTTTTATGCTGAATGGCAAAAAGTAGTTACTCATATTTACATTTCTTTTACGCTGAATGACAACTAGTAGTGATTCGTGATTATTCCGTTTTTGAATATTGATTCTATTGTTATTTAAGTAGCACCTCATTTTGATAGCTAAAATATAAAAGCAGCAAACTTAGATATCTGTTGGTGATTCTTGCTGTTTCTAATTATAATTCAGTTAGAATATCAGTAGTCAAGACTATATTTTTGTCCATCTTGTTTTATTCTTGAAATGACAAAACATGACTCTTCTGAAACTGCTGCGAAAGAATCGATGCAGTCTCTGAAACTTCATAAGGTGAGTGTAAAAATACCTTGTTTTTGGACTGATAAGCTAGAATTTTTTTTTTTTTTTTTTCAAGTGCAGTTTAAAATGAGTAATATTGTTTCAGAAGAAACAAAATTTAATTACTCAGTTTCCCAACTTGAACCTAATTTTATCGAAAATATTTGGGATATTGTAATGAATGAAAGTGCTACAAAATATTCCAATGCTAAAACTAGATTATTACATTTATTTAAGGAAAGTGAAAATGCGCAGATTAAATGTTTGATTACTGATATTGAGCTTGGAGACATGAAACCAAGCCAACTTTTGTGAAAACTGAGATCAGTTGTTGCTGCAGATGTGTCTGAAAGTTTAATCAAAACACTTTTCCTTAAGACGCTCCTAACTCAATACAAAATATATCATCAGTTAGCGGTGAAGATCTAAGCAAATGTTTATGGCAGATAAAATTAATGATATGAATCAGAAAACAGAAGTATTTTGTGCTAATTCATCTTCCGTTTATTTAAAAATGGGGAATATTTGCGATGTGATACATCAACTAAAAATATTCAGTTGTATATTCCTCAAGCTTTCAGAAAATAAGTCTTTCAGCAAATTGACGGTTTATCACATCCAGGAATTAAATCAACTAGAAAGAAAATGACATCAAAATTCATTTGGCCAAACATTAAGAAAGTTGTAGAATTGTGGATGTGAACCTGCATTCCTTGCCAAACAGCTAAAATCAGCTAGCATACCAAAACAAAATTAGGTGATATTGAAATACTCAAAACAAAATTAGGTGATATTGAAATACTATCAAGAAGATTTTCTGTAATCCATATCAATCTCATAGGACCACGCCCCCAATCCAAGGTAATATTTACTGTCCTACTTGCATTCAAAGATTTTCGAAGTGGATGAAAGCAATTCCTTTATTTAATATTTCAGCTGATAATGTCGCAACAGCCGTTTTATAGCCATTCAATTGCGGGTTTCAGAATGCCAAGCAAATTCATTAGTGATCGTGGATCCCAATTTAAATGTGACACATTACAAGCTTTGCCCAAAATTTGTGGCATCAATTTATAACACTCTAGTGCAAGGATGTCAAACTCACAGCCCACAACAAATATTTTTGCGGCCCGGCCAATATATCGGCAAATAATAATATATAATAATAAAATAACATATCGACGAAGAAAAAAAAAATGAAATGTTTACTGCTAAGTAATTAACAATAATTTATTCAGTGTTGTTAGATCACTCACAGCGAGCTGACACACACACTACTTAAATTACAAATGCGTGTGAGTAGCTTACGTTCAGCTACCTTCGGCTTTTGGGGGACACGTGCACTCAGAACTTGTACGCATTCCCCGATAGCCGAATGTGGCCGAACTCATGGTCTCAGTTTTCCAATCATAGTTTTGTACGTGCACTTTGCTTTATTATTAATTATTACTTAATTCATAGTTACGGATTTCATAGTTATTTATTTATTTAGTTTTTTTTATTTAGAATGGTAATTAGATTTGCTTCATGTTGCCTTAGCAACGCAGACGATTTTTGAAAAGACAGCTGCGTTGGAAGGTTAAAAAGAACAGCGCGTTGCATTTAATACTTAATAAATAAATATCTCGTAATTGCTGTTGCCATCCACAAAAAATGCCAGATATTTATAGATGTTTCCAGTATATTCGAGAAATTAATTATAAAGCTTATAAAAGCCGAGAACAAAACAACTCATCTCAGTAGTAGCTGTAGTTCTAGCGAACTGTTTGTTTACTTAATGCTGTGATTGATTTTGTAGCGATTTCGCTATAAGATAGAATTAGTTTCTCTGTTTTGAATTGATTTTTGCTAAACGTTTGACATTTTGTGATATTGTTAGAATATTTTTTGAAGAAATATTTCAGCATTTTGATTTATCTCTTGTGGAAAGAATAAATTTTTGTTAACTTTTTAAACGTTAACCGTGTTTATTCCAGCCCTTTGTATTCAGTATGTCTATATCAAAACCAAGTGGTAGTAAAATTAAACGAAAAATCGCTGACGAACATAGAATATTCCAAGTAAAATGGGAATTAGAATATTTTTGCTGTGAAATAAAAGATAAAATAATCTGCTGGATATGTAATAATACTATTAATGTACCAAAGTTATATAATATTAAACGTCATTACGAACAACACAAATCGAAATATAACAATTATGAAGGATTAATGAGAGAAGAAAAGTTGAAAGAGCTCAAGTTAGGAGTGAAAAAGCAACAGTCCATGTTTAGTAAAGTATTGCAAGAAAGTGAAGCAGTGGTACATGCAAGCTACGTCTTGTCCGAGTTGATAGCTAAACATTCGAAGCCTTTTACTGATGGTGATTTCATCAAGGAATGCCTAATGAAAGCTGGAGAAATTGTTTGTCCTGTTTGTTGGAGAAATTTTAGTTCCCTCGAAGACAATTTTTTTTTTTTTTTTTTTGTTTCCTTCGATTTTCTCAATAAGTATTGACTCAGTACCCAGCCATATGCAAATGGAGGTGATCGAGATTCAATGCAACTTAAATTTGAAAGCAAAATTCATTGAAGTGGGCTTGCCTGAATTTTACAAATATTTACCAGCCAAGTTTGAAAATACTCAAAAATTCGCATATGAAATTATTTCCATGTTTGGTAGCACTTATCGGTGCGAGCAGTTATTTTCAGTCATGAAAAGGTAATAAGTCTCCTATTAGAAACCGTATATGATGCTCACCTTGGGTCAGCGTTGAAAGTTATCACTGCAAACAAATTTCTCCCGAAATAGGCAAGATAATAGCAGAGAGAGATGTCAAGTATCAGGATGTAAACATTAAATTTTTTCTTGTTCTTTTCTATATAAATATATATATATGTTTATTATTGTATTATTCAAAATAAATCTAAATTTCTATGAATATTGATTTTTTTTTCGGCCCGCCTAAAGTTAAACCTTGTTTGTTTGGCCCAAACTATTGTAGTGTACTAAACTATTTGAAGTGCACCTATGAGTTTGACATCCCTGCTCTAGTGCCTACCACCCCTTGTGTAATGACAAAGTTCAGTGCCTTCACAGAACATTAAAAACAGCATTAAAAGCTCATAACATGTCTTGGAGCTACACATTACCAAGAGTATTTTTGCATTTGTGAACTGCTATCCAAGAAGATGCAAATCATTCAATTGTGCAAATAGTTTATGGCCAGA